AGCTCTACAGCGCGTAGGCTGCACGTTTTAATAGTGGTTGTAATCGATTTCTTAGGGTTTATTTGTATATATTTGACTGATATTACACCTATTCTAGAAAACTCGAAGTTGGTGTGGTGTCTTGTTGATTCTTTACCTAGAAAGTATAGAGAATATGTGACAATCCACTCTCGTGAGGCTGAATTTCTCGACGCTTTCATCGACTTTTTTCTTGGGGTGATAAAAATTTTCCACAGGTGAGTTTCATCATTAGAAAAATGATCCAGCGGCGTGTAACGTAGCTAGATGCTCTGGTCACACGATGTTGATTTATAGCGACAGCGATCTAGAGACGGCGCTAGTAATTGGCACTATGACAGCGAGCCCGACTAGCATCCAAGAATGCATAAACAATTTTTTGCAGATGCGAAACCATCCATATTTCCGTAGCCAGTCGATAAATGAGCATAATGTCAAAGACAATGTGCTTCTCGTCATTGGCATCTGGACGCTCATGGTCGGATATTACACCCCGGGACCCCGTAGATGCTGACATATTCTGTAAACCTACTGCAATTAGAAAAGAACAGCCCTTGAAGAGAGCATTGGTCTCTAGAGCGCTCTCTCCGAATTGATTTCCGGATGTGGCTTACTCCCACACGAGGCAGAAGACCGCACTGAAGAGAGCAGCAACTATACTTCAGGCCCCACTTTTCCAGATCCTACTGCAACTTCAACACCACCAGATCCTACTACAACTTCAACATCGTTTATTCTGCATTAGTCATTTGATGAAACCATCAAAGCTCACCATCTAAATGCCTTCAAGCTCGCTACCCTTGCAGGCGTTCGTATTCGCTGGACAGATAACATTTCTCGTCATTTACTACTATATAAGAACGCGCAAACCTTCTACCTGGATCTTTTTTCACTGCCATGTGTGCTACAATTTTGGCTAGAGAAAAATTCAAATAAAAAAAATGAGAACCAACCATTTGCAGCTCTGGTTCCAGAGATCTTATGCTCGTATAGTCTTCTGTTCAATCCTACAGAGCCCTCACATCTTCACAGGTACTTGGCACCATTTATCGGTCTACGCTTCTGGTGCTAGTGCTTATGTTGCTCGTCACATCGCCTGTGTCAACGTGAACTCAAGAAACGCAAAAATCTCAAGGTCGATAACACGACTCGATTTCCATATAACGATAAACCGAACTCAGTCATGAGGCAAACGCCTACGGAGTGGGGTTCAAACACTAAAGCATGGGAGTACGCAGAATTCAAACTTCTATAGCCTAGAATTCTAGCTCTAGATTCGCACCTTCAAAAGGTCAAGCCTTAGAACTTCTAGGTAATTTTCAGAGATCGCCGAGATATAATACAGTTCTAGACGTTTTTATAAGTTAATTTAGGTTATCAGCGAATATATAAACAAACTAACGTAAAACTGTTTTAGAACTATAATTTTGTTTCTAATAGAAGTTTAAGTTTTTTTAGGAATTACTTATGTTGCTAGATTATTTAAATGATAAGATCTAGTTATAGTGACAATTTATACATAGGATAGCAATACTATAACTAGCTCTTCGTTCTCAGACTAAATCACTTAATTATATAGGAAAATCAACATTCCTGCACAATTGAGTGCTCTTCCAGTGCTTCTGGAACACAAAATGCTCCGTAAAAGGAAAGTTCACCTTTTTCGAGTCTTTTTCTCACCAAGTCATCACCCATACCCAATGAGATTTGGTAGTATTTATCTTGCACGAACGAAGTAAACCCCGCTATCTTTGCAAACTTGCTTCCATCGCCTCGCTCCTCGAGAACACAAATTGCTGTTCCGCATAGTCCGTCCAATCTTCAGGCCCGGGCTTTGTGGTAGAGACTTCCAATCCCTTGAAAGGACTCAGGACTTTCTCTATCCAGGTGGTCTTCTTGCGGGTGTTAATCACAGCTCGACCGATTATCTTCGAAATTGAATTAGAATGAAGTTTTGTTTAAATCCAAGTTATACAAACGTACGATGTTCTTAGACTCCTCGAAGGGAATATTCTTCACGATTTCCTCAGAACTACCTAGCAAATGAAGTTTCGAAGAGTTGCCAGGCTTGGGCTCACTCCATTCGGCATCTGACAACCAATCGGTAGGATAGGGGCATCTCAATGTATCTTGGAGATCATGTAATGTTGTAACTTCAACCAAACTTGTGTCGTGTAGAAAGCCAATGGGAAAGACGCCAGTCTCAGGATCGAAAGTGAGGGCTATACGGGCGTCCTGCGAACAGTAAGCATTCACGAAGAAACAAAAGCAGTGAAAGAAGAAACACGCACTTTTATAGTACCGCCTGCTGAGTACAGTTTGACGTTATCTTTCCATGAAACATCAAGATTGGCCACTTTTTTCGTCGACAACCAAGCTTCAGTGCCCATATGAGTGGAAACAGTGACGTACAGTCTGCCCTCAAACTTTGTCATGACTCCTATTCTTCCCTCGAAGTCCACAGCGCTACTCTTTGAGCCTGAAATTCGAGCTTTAATTAAACCGCCTATGCATAGCATTGTAGTAGTTGAAGTAGATGACTGATTTGCCTCTGCATTGAAGCTTATACTTGTCCGGCTGACACAAGGACGAGTTGTTTGCTGGATGTAACTGACTCTTGGTCCGCCAAATGTCTGTGGTTTGTGAGATAAAGTATCTGTAGAGTCAAAGCCTTCGTCGACAATGATCTGTAGCCAGCCATTCGCGAGGACGTAGAAATCTATGGGATTGTCGTATGTGTTGAAGATTGCATCAACCACCTTTTTCTTGAGCGAGATGCTCGGCGAAATGAGTTCTAGATGCGGGTCAAGAGGAGAACTCAACGCAGGTCTCAAATCGTATCTGAAGCTAACCGGAATGATCACAGGGGCCCCAGCTATAGTAAGAGGAATTGAGTCTAGCGATAGAGACGGTGATGGTGTAAGTGTCCAACACGGCGGCGATTGGTACAGTTCCGTATAATCTATATCCCATCGTAGCTCTTCGGGTACATGCTTGAGTATGAGTTCCCAAGTCTCGCTGCTAAGCAAGGTCGCAAATTCAGGAGTCCAATGAGTGTCAGTGAGAGAGAAAGCGGGCTTGATGTAGTTCTTCTCAAAAAGAAACTTGTGATACCCCCTGTCCACTAACCACGACAGCGGCGTCCGACCGTCATTGTCTGCGGCATTTAGATTCGCGCCTCTCTTAAGTAAGAGCTCGATAACTAATTCATTTTGATTCTTGACTACCCACGACAGTGGTGTCCAACCGTTGTTATCTGCAATGTCTGGATTGGCGTCTTTCTCAAGCAAAAGCTTGGCCCCGTACCAACGCCCATTTCCAGCTGCCCAAGAAAGTGGTGTCCGACCGTTGCTGTCTTTGGAGTCATGGTCAACACCTTCTTCCTTCAGCAAAAGCTCCATCGCTTCCTGATAGCCGCTCCCAGCTCCCCAAGAAAGTGGCGTCCCCCCCTTTTTTTCTAGAATGTTGGAATCAACGCCATCTTTCTCTAGTAAGAGCTCTACGACTGTCTTATGGAAGTTCGCTACTACCAGCAATAGTAGCGTTCGACCATCGTTGTCCTTTGCATTGAGATCAGAATCGCCTTCCTCAAGGAAGAGCTTCACAGCTACCTCGTCCCCCTCCTCAACTGCCAATGATAGTGGTGTCCGACCGCTGTTATCTATAGTGTTTAGATCGGCATCCGTCATATTCAGGATGCGCCCTGAAGAAATGGTAGCGTTATCGCCTTTTTTAGAGGTGAAGATCTGTAAGTCTGTTAGGAAGGTGGTTTTAGGATTCGGAATTAGGCAACGTAGTGTACTACTTGTTGGCTAATAAAAGATTATGGAAATGCCTTGTATGTAGCCTTGTCTCAGCTGTGGATTACGTTCTAGACCCTTGACCCCTCTTTCTGGGAAAAGCAACTTCAGCTGACTTTTGCAGCTTATCGAATTCTATGCACCCTTCTTCCCTTTCCATGTGTATTTCTTTATATATGAATCGTGTCCATGCAGACGAGATGTTTAGCTGGCGTCGGCGTTGGGCGACAGCACTATTGAGATCTAGGATGTGAGGAATTGTATGTGTCTGTAGATCCTCGAGCGTTATGACCTATATTAAAACACTATTGAGTAACCACCCAAAGGAACCCGCTATGGAAATAGTTGCGTTACAGGCTGATATATAGTACGACCTTACTTGGCTGTTGTTAAAGCAAAAGTTATTACCTTTTGCTTCTCCCAAAGCTAAGGTAGATATCCTGCGACAACTATATTATAGAAAGCAATGGCTCGAAAACGACGGGAGCCGCGAGAGGAAGTTCGACATTGTATTAACGGGAGATCGAGTTCTAATGGATTCGTGCTAATAAAATGCGATATAGCGAATATATAGGTATAGGAGCGCTTTACGCAATATATTCTTATTATAACTATAGTTTATTATCTTAT